CCTTCCTTCCTTCCTTCCTTCCTTCCTTCCTTCCTTCCTTCCTTCCTCTGTCTCTGTTTCTGTCTCTCTCTCACACTCTTCCTTTTCTTCTTTCTTTCTACCAACAAAGTTCTTTGAAGTTGTATCCTTTTTAGAGAGGAGAACCTAGTGTTGTGAGTGGAGTGCTGGAACTGGTCAAGAGGACCTGGTTTTGAATCTCCGCTCACATGAGATTCATGTGAGCTTAGGAAAAGTTACTTGGCCTTAGTTTCCCAGTCTGTGAAACAAGGCCTTTGGCCTACATAATATTTAAGGTCTCTTTCAGTTTTAAATCTATGCTTTCCTTTCCTATTCATCACCTTGATGGGCACTACTCTGAATGAACCATTAAACCTCAGTACAATTTAAAAGAATATGACAACAAGCATCATTTATCCACAGGGTCCTTTCCTTTTCCCAATATTCGTTACAGTTTCTTGTTCCTATTTTGGTTAGAAATTCCTAAAAAGTTATTAATATCAACTCACTCTCCAAATTCTTCTCATTTAAAGGAATAAAAAAGTTATCGGAGGACAGGACTGTATTATTAGTTTTGGGCACGAGGATAATCCTTATTGCCTGTTCATCTATTCACAATAGTGGAATCTATTTTATGGGGTGTACCTGCCCTAGCTGTGGCCACACTCTTTATAGAAGAAGCTTTACTGCAGAGGATGCAGTGGAAGGAGCCCTGGACATGGAACCAAAGACCTGGTTTCCAACCTCTTCTACTTGCTACCTCTGTGACTTTAGGCAAAGCACTTAACCTCTTGTTCTCTCTCTGCCCCTCCCCCCTTTTGAGTTTATGTGTGATCTTTTCCTATTAGAAAGTAAGCTCCTAGAGGGTGGGGACTGTCTGGTTTGCTTGTTAGCATCTCCAGTACTTAGCACAGTGCCTGATACAAAATAAGTACTTAATACAGGTTTTTTTCATTCATTCACATTCCTCAGTTTCCTCTCTTATAAAATGAAGGACTTAAACTAAATAATCATAAGACCTCTTCTAGTTCAGCTTCCTGTGCTCCTAAACGAAGTCAGCCTAATGTAGTTTTGTGTGTATATAGGCCATACGTTCGTTTATTAAGCACTTACCAAATGCTAGGCACTCTGTTAGAAGCTGGGGGGGGAGCTAATAGCCAATAGATAACATATAACGACTAGCATGTGCCAGACACTGTGCTAAGTGTTTTGCAATTATTATCTTCTTTGGTCCTCACAACAACCCCAGGAGGAGGTAGGTGCTGTTATTACCCTCATTTTACAAATGAAGAAACTGAGGCTGAGGTATAGTGACTTTTTCAGGGTCACACAGCTAGTAAGTGTCTGAGTTGGATTTGAACTCTGGCCTACACTTCTGATCTGTCTTCTTCTAGGGTCTACATCTTATTGGTAGAAATAAATAACCATATACAGAACTCTTAAATAGTGCACGTAAATGAAATTTTTTTTTTAAACTTTGGGTGGGGAAAGGAGAGAAGGAGAGCCCCGAATGGACCCCTGGTCGATTTCCTCTTTTCTTTGGGGACCTGACTCCCTGAAGAAAGTAGATGAGTTGAAGGGAGACGAGGCAGAGGCGGTGGTTTGGGACAGAGAGCACAGGAGAAACTGGGCTTCCTTGACATGTGAACTTGCATACTATTGCTGGAAGTAAAGGGGAGGTGGGGAGGCACCTTTCTGGACCATGGCATCGGAAGGACTGCTTTTAATTTCATTTTCTCCCTAGCTCCTGCTTTAGAGATTGAGCTACCCACGGCTTGCTCTGCAAGATTCTTTCTTTAGAAATTAAAAATAATTAAAAAAAACCCCAAATCCTTCCTCGTCTTGAAGGTGGGCGATGCTGGCAGGCAGATGGGGGAGACGACAGATTTTTTAAGGGCGATCAAAACAGCCGGCGATACGAGGGATGGGGGCCAGGCTGGGGATGGTGTCGATACCCTCCAATCTTCTTCGGGGCTTTTCTGCCTTCCCGCCTCCCGTACTCCCCCCCATCTTTCCCCGTGCTCCTCTTGGGGGCGCTGGTTCTCTTGCTCCGCAGGAAGGAAAGAGGAGCTTCAGGCGAGCCAGCGGCCCGCGCCAAGGAGCCGCGCACGACAGGGATCGCATGTTGTGTGAATGTCGGTACCGAGACCTGCCGCCCGATGGGTCAGCGTCAGGCTGGAGACTCGTCCATCCTCCCGAAGCCCCGCATCCTCTTAAAGGGACACCCCTCCACCTCCTCCCATCTCCCACCCTCCCACTCCTTCCCCGCCTAGTCCCTAACTGCAGCGAGGTCCCCGCCGGCTGGGGGGTTATGAATGGGTGCAGCGGAAGCACCGCCCACCCCGGACGTGACGCTTGGCCAATGGCAGAGCCGGCTGCGTGGATAGATGAGGTCAGCGCTGTCGTGTCGGGAATGGAATGTGTAAGTGTAACATTCAGAACCGGGTAACATTCGGCGATCGAACTCCGCGATCGGCAACGTTCGAACGGGGTTGGGCGGGGGAGGGGGGCGGCCAGGGAACCTCGCCGGGGTTTGCAGCTCGGTGCAGCGACTGACTAGGAGGAGGAGGTGCCGCCGCCGCCGCCGCCGCCGCCTCCGACGCCGCCACCACCACCGCCGCCGCCGCCGCCGCTGCTCGTGTTGCTGCTGCCGCCGCCGCCGCTGCTGCTCTGTCCCGGGGGCCATTCACAGAGATCGGAGGAGTAAACACCACCAGAGTCTTGGAGCCGCTGCAGAAGGGAATCCAGAGAAATGCAGGGATTTGTAAGGTTACGGCGCTCGAGCTGGAAGATGTAATTCTCTGTATGAGCCGGTTGGGATCTGCTGACTTGTTGGAAGCCGGAGTGCTTTGCATGAGTGTGTTGATGAGTTGAAGTTACTGCACCGGTGCTCCTTTTCAACACTACCGAGGGGAATTCTGGAGGCGAGGAAATCACTTAGTCTTGCCATTGATTGGGTATCGGGAGCTTTTTTTTTTCCCTTCTACCCCCCCCCCCTTTTTTTTCTTCTCCCTTCTTTCCTCCGTCTTGTTGCATGCAAGAAAATTACAGCCCTTGGCTGCCCACACCGGGTGCGAATTATTCGGCTACGCTCTCTCCCATCTATTGTGCAACCCAAAGATGAAAGACAGAAGGGGAGAAAGTTAAAGAAATCGCCCACATGCGCTGGATCAGTCCACGGCTTTGGGAAAGGAATAAAGAGAAGGTGGTAGAAGAGAGTTTGAAGTCTTTACAGGCGGGAAGATGGCGGACTGGAGCTGAAAGTGTTGATTGGAAAACTTGGGTGATTCTTGTGTTTATTTACAATTATCTTGACCCAGGCAGGACACATGCAGGCCAAAAAACGCTATTTCATCCTGCTCTCAGCCGGTACTTGTCTCGTCCTTTTGTTTTATTTCGGAGGCTTGCAGTTTAGGGCATCCAGAAACCAAAGCAGGAGAGAGGAGCACAGTAGTAGGAATGGCTTGCACCACACTAGTCCGGATCATTTTTGGCCCCAGTTCCCGGACGCTTTGCGCCCTTTCATTCCTTGGGATCAATTGGAAAACGAAGATGACAATGTGCCCATTTCCCCAAAGCAGAAGCGAGACGGTAATTCCAGCATCTACAAAGGCAAGAGGTGTCGCATGGAGTCCTGCTTCGATTTCACCCTTTGCAAGAAAAACGGCTTCAAAGTGTACGTCTACCCGCAGCAGAAAGGGGAGAAAATCGCAGAAAGTTACCAAAATATTTTAGCAGCCATCGAGGGCTCCAGGTTTTACACTTCTGATCCCAGCCAGGCGTGCCTGTTTGTCCTGAGCTTGGATACTTTAGACAGAGACCAATTGTCACCTCAGTATGTGCACAATTTGAAATCAAAAGTGCAGAGTCTCCACTTGTGGAACAATGGTAGAAATCACTTAATTTTTAATTTATATTCTGGCACCTGGCCTGACTACACTGAAGATGTGGGGTTTGACATTGGCCAGGCAATGCTGGCCAAAGCCAGCATCAGTACTGAAAACTTCAGACCTAATTTTGATGTTTCTATTCCCCTCTTTTCTAAGGATCATCCCAGGACAGGAGGGGAGAAGGGATTTTTGAGGTTTAACACTATCCCTCCTCTCAGGAAGTACATGTTGGTATTCAAGGGGAAAAGGTACCTGACGGGGATTGGGTCAGACACCAGGAATGCCTTATATCACGTCCATAACGGGGAGGATGTGGTCCTCTTAACCACCTGCAAGCATGGCAAAGACTGGCAAAAGCACAAGGACTCTCGTTGTGACAAAGACAACACAGAATACGAAAAGTAAGTGCTCCATGCTGGTCCTTTCTAGTCAGTAGCCTGTGACTTCTTTTGCCATACAGGTGTGCAGGAGGCAGGGATGTGTGTGGTGGTGGTGGTGGTGGTGGTGGTGATGGGGTGAGGAGCCAGGGAAAACTCCCAAGTTTCCTCCCTCCCCTCCAGATATTAGTTTCAGTTCTAAAAGCAGGGAGTGTGCTTTGTTTTCTTTGCCTGTTATCAATAGTAAGTTACATAGTCCAGTAGAAGGGGTTCTTTCCATCCCCTTAGGGAGTTGGTTGGTTACCTTACAGCTCTCTCTCTTTATGGAGGTGGGCGATGGTGGCTTCTCCTTTGGAAACTGCTCTTCATCTGTTCTGAGTGTGGAGATGCTGCATTTGATAAGCAAGGAGCACTGGAGATTCTGTGGTCACAGCTGCTCCCTTTAACCACAGACAAGAGGAGAGGAGATGCTTGTTGGGGCCTTGATAGCTCAGGATTAATTCGTTGTGTGTTCTGATTGTGAGGACTTCTTCAGGTTAACTTGCTGACCTTTATGTCACGGTTCTGAAGTTAACCCAACTTCCAAGCTTCCTATGTATCATGTAAAAGCCTTACTTGGTTTTTTTGGAGGTAGAAGGGGGTGCTTAATTTAGTCATGAAATACATTCACACCTTGCTTTTCCTTTCTTATATTGAAATTTTGAGGACTTTTCTGATGGGGGTGAGTGTTCCTGTGTGGTCCTGTCCTTTCTCTAGCAAGAATAATCCCCAAGGCAGTGAAAGCACCATTGATAATTTTGACTTTCATCACTATTGTCTTCTTCTATTTGTATCTATAACATTATATATGTTGTAGCAGTTGCATGACTATAAGAGGATGAGGATGAGGATGATGATGATGAAGAAGGCTACCCCCACCAGGTTGATACAAGCTTTACTCAGTTGCTAAGTAACTTGGCTAGTTACTTTGTTACTGTCCCCTAAGTTAGTAACTGATACACTTTATTTTATTTTACAAAATGAAGTTTGCAGAAGCCTCCCTGTCCTGACTGTGCTGATCAGTGGTTCACTTTTAAACAAGTCACATTAGCTGCTGGTTGGTCATTACAGCTGAAGAGTTAGCAAGATCTGGTTTCGGTGCATTTCCACAGCGCACCGGTTAAGAAACCAGAGCAGCCTTGTTCTACCAAGAGCCTGGGAACCCAAGCTAAAAATGAAAGAGGAACTGCCAGAGGTTGGCAGAGTTTGAAACTGAATTATGGAATGCAGTGTCGGGGAAACCCCAACCCCTCAGAGAAGCTGATAGGGGAGAGGAGTAGGAAGGGAGGAGGGGAGGGAAAGAGCGCTGAAAACTGCAGGGATATCACTGTTCACTAAGATTTCTCGACCTGGTTTCTCTCTCTAGGATTTCCTCGGTTTTTGGTGAGAATCACTGGTTGTGGGAATTAAGTGAGATAAACCAAATGTACTTTCAGTTTTCACTGAGATTGGGGGGAGAAAAGAACGGAATACTAACCCTCTTCTCCCTTTACCTTCCAAGATTGAGGAAATCATGATAATAAGGGGATAGTCATTACTTCTGATTAAAAAAATAGTTCAATAAGGCTTAAAAATTAAGTACAATTTAAATAAGTTTGTTTGCTTTTTCTCATGAAAGAAACTATAACCTTAAACTATCTCTAGGAATGGATTGCTTTGTTTATGCCACATTTAAATTAACCTATTCCTATGGGTTTTTATAAAAGAACATGCTCCTAGCCTTTCAGGAATTTCTTTGTTTGGCTCTTGGTGGAGTAATCGGAGATGAAGTCTAACCTTTCAGTGTCTTCTAAGGCAATCTTATTGAATTCTGTAGGAGGATCATGGTGCTTTTTTTATTCTTTTAAATGAGGTATACCAGGAATTTCACCTTAGGAAATCTGAATTCCATAGTTCACCAGGTGATGGATGTCAAGAAATATATATCATTCAATGATACAGTCACATCTTTTGCTCTCAAAGAAAAAGACTAAATTGCTTCCTGCTCAGCTATAATGTAAGAAGCTCTGTGGAGCATTTCAGCACTGGAGGAACGGTTAGGGAGGATAAAGGGGTGTGTTCCCTTAAAACTCCAGTTTTGCTCATTTTCTTTTTCCAGCATTGTTTCTTGTTGGAACCATACTGAGAGAGATCAGTACTGACACTCGAACTCTTGTGGGAAATGTTAGGATATCTTTTTAAAGACCACAAGGGGTCAGGACCTGGGGGATCTGTTCTCATCTGAAAGATGATGGCCCCACTGGTAGCAATGCAGATTCCTACTGAATCCTGACCCAGGGACACCTATCACTGAAAACAGCTGGAATTTCTTGATATTTCTTTTGAGTACCATCTAGCCCTAATCTTGCATAATTTGTAAGTTCTACTGATCATTTACATTTGTTAGTGGGGTAGTAGAGCAGAAGCTTTACTTCATTTTCTCCCAGTGGGTTTTCTAAAGTGTGTGCCTTTGGGAAAATGGTGTTTTCCTGGCAGTGATGCCATTTATGTCTGATGACTTCTAAATGTTTAATGAGTAGGGAAGATGTCAAAAAATGTGCCTGTTTGGCCCATGGCACTATTATTATTTATTGGCTTTATTGAACAAATAAAGCTACTGTATTCTTTATTTATTTCTGTGAAATAAAGTGTTCACCTTCCAGAAACTAATTTTATTTATGTGAAATTGTGTCCATCCATGCAGAACTGTCCAAGTAAAATTCATTTCTCTTGGGATGATGGGAAAGTAGGTGTTATGAGCTGGTGGAATCATTGGTCTAGAAGTTTTTGCTCTAGTGTCAACGAGTGTGTGACCTCTAGTCAGTCACACCAACCAAGCCAGATTTTTACTGGGTTGTGGAAAGGATGGTATAATACCTCCCTCCCAATAGGGCTCTGGGGATTCATTTGGTAATGGCTATAAAAACCCATGGATCTTCAGATCAATTTTCATTATACCTTTTTTCTTTTAATAGGCGTATTTGAAAGTAGGCCTCAACTTATTCACCTTCTAGCCTTGTATTGGCTCCCTTTAAAGCTGATATCTTCAGTGTATAGTGATTAGGCTGTACGCTTAAAAATGACGTTGCCAAATCGGGAAATTATGGGAAATGTATCCATTGAGGGAAAAGAATTAACCTTTAACGACTGAAACTTAGCATTCTGTGAAGATAAAGACAATACCAAATGCCAAATCTGGATTTCATTTGAATTCTACCCTCTTATTAATCAATAACTGATTATTGAAAGTAAAGAAAATGAAGGAAGATCCTTCATCTGGTGTAAAGGCACTTTTTTGGCTCAAACATACAGAGTTATATTAAAACATCCATCTGCATGACACATACCTAATTAATTTTCATTAGTTATATGCCTCAGCAGATAAAGTTGATAAAGGCTAAAATAAATTACAAACAACCTAATCACTACAATGTAATGAGGATTTAGAGGAGTTATTTCAGTATTGCATCTTTCAAGTTTATGCATCTTATCAGAATTGTCTTTGCATGAACTTGCTGTAGCTAGAATGTTCACAGGACCAATTGTCACTGGATCATTTTGGTCTGGCTAACCATGAGCTCTCTGGCCCATCTAGGGATCAATCACATCAACCCATCAAATCATTTCCTAGCAAGTTTTTCATTAAGTAGTGATTGTTTAACTTAAAAAAAATGCCAGTGCATTTTTAAAGTTGGATTTTAAAGATGGATTTTAAAATCCATCCTCTGTTAAAAAAAAAAATCAGTAGCGGTGCTTCTATTAGCTATTCTTAGCTGAAGAGCTTGACATGCCACTTGATTTAACTCTACAGGAAATTAGATCGATGCACACAGTGTCTCTCAGGGGTGTAGCAGCTTTGCACTGACAGGTACCCTATGAAGCCCGCCTACCAGCTGCACTGGCCAGAGCTCACATGCTAGAGTCAAGGAGAGAATGGCTTGTGTCTGTGCTTCTCGATGTTCCATTAAGGGCTGTCCCAGGGGAACCAAGCAATTGTGATAGATGGAAGAGAGGGCTCGATAAGTTTCAATTCCATACCTCTAATACCTTGGTGGTAGTTATTGGCTTAAGAGTGCTGTTATCCCCAGCATTAATCAAAAAAGCATTTATTAAGCCCCTGCTATGAATCAGGCACTATGCTATGTGCTGGGCATACAAAGGTAAAATATGAAACAGTTTCTGTCCTCAGGGAGCTTACCTTTTGTCAGAGGAAGCAGCAAGTATACATGTAAGTAAGTACATATAAAACATATATAAAAGTAAAGAAAGGATTATTTGTTGGGGAGGGGGATGACAAGGTATGGTACTAGTAGTCTGGGTGTTCAGAAAAGACTTCATGTGTAAGTGAACTTGAACTGAGTTTTGGGGGAGGATTCAGACTTGATTATTAGGAGTCAGTCCATTTCAGGCACAGGGATTAGCCTAGGTAAAGACATGGAAACAGGAGACAGAATGTCATGTGAGCAACAACAGAAGGGCTGGATTGTAAAATGTGTGTAGAGGGGAATGATCTGTAGTAAGCCTGGGTACCCTATATATGTTATTTTAGTTGATCCTTATAATAACCTTGTGAAAGAGTTACTATAGGTACTATTACTCCAGTTTTACAGATGAGGAGACTGAGGCTTGGTGAAGTGGTTTATCTGCAGTATAGGAAGTAGACTTAGAACCTGGGTTCTCTAATGATTCAAATCCTGTGCTCTTTTTACTACCCGAGGCTGCCTGCTTAATTATAAATATTGATGATCTTGAGTGATAAACAAAAGGCCAAATTGTGTTTAGTCTTATATTGTGAGCTGTGTGACACCAAAGATTATCTTTTTGCCTCATTTTGTATCCCAAGCTCTTAGCACAGTCCCTGGTGCATAGTAGGCACTTAATAAATGATTATTGATGGACTGATTTAGCTTCTGTTCAAAAAGGCAGAGAAGTGCATAATACAATGTGAAAAGACATTCGTTCAAAATGGTTAAAATAAGAGCTTGAAGAAGTAAAACCTCAGGGTT